GCAGCCTCCTGCTCGACATCATTCCCCACTCAGAGGAATTTCATGTTTATTGTGATCAAAGGGAACATTCAAAATGCCAGCTTTTGTCACCTACAAACAAGAAATGACAATAGGCCATCTGGCCCTTTGAGCCTGCTCCACTGTTTAACAAAGTCTGATTTTTACTTCATCTCTACATCCCTGCATTTTGCGGTAATCTGTCATCCCCTCGGTAATCAAGAATCTGTCTGCCTCCGCCTTAAAAAATATTTGTTGTTGCTAATTCTTAAGCGGTAATTTTCAAGTTCGCCAGTCACTTGCCAGAATAGACCATTCACCCTCTACAGAACCCACCAAATCTATATTCTGGATATTTTCTAATCAATCAGCTCAGTGATGTTGTTACACACCTGTGGAGCAGGTGGAACCTAGGCCTCTTAGTCCAGAGGTAGGATGCTACCACTGCACCACAAGAGTCCCAGATCTATATCCCATTGATTCCAATGGAATGAAAGTCAGTTGGTGCGGGTATTCTGCTCTAACAGTTTATTGCCCGTTCATCAAGTTAAAAATGGTACTCTCTAGAGCCAAACCACTGCTAGGATAGCACTGTCCACTTCCACAACCCAACTTGAACCATCATAGAATCCCCACAGTGTGGAAGCAGGCCATTCGGAACTTCAAGTCCACATCAACTCTCTGAACAGCATCCCACCCAGGCCCACCTTATCCCTGTAAACCTGCATTTCCCATGGCTAACCCACCTAGCCTGCACATCCCTGGGCGCTACGGGCAATTTAGCATGGCCAATCCACCTAACCTGCACATCTCTGTGACTGTGGAACACCTGGGGGAAATCCACGCAGAGACGAGGAGAATGTGCGAACCCCGCACGGACAGTCACCTGAGGTTGGAATCGAATCCGGGTCCCTGGCGCAGTAAGGTAGCAGTGCTAACCACTGAGGGACCAATGGCCATTCTTTTTTATTAACAAAATGGTTCTAGACAAGTTGTTAGGCTGACGTTTCGGGCCTAGACCCTTCATCAGAAAAGGGGGAGGGGAAGGGGGTTTTGAAATAAATAGGGAGAGAGTGGGAGGCGGATAGAAGAGGGATAGAGGAGAGGATAGGTGGAGAGGAAACAAACAGGTCAAAGAGGCGGGGATGGGGCCAGGAAAGGTGAGTGTAGGTAGGGAGTTAGGAAGGGGATAGCTCAGTCCAGGGAGGACGGACAGGTCAAGGGGGCAGGATGAGGTTGGTTGGTAGGAGATGGAGGTGCGGCTTGAGGTAGGAGGAAGGGATAGGTGGGAGGAAGAACAGGTTAGGGAGGCAGGGACGAGCTGGACTGGTTTTGGGATGCGGTAGGGGGAGGGGAGATTTTGAAACTTGTGAAATCCACATTGATACCATTGGGCTGCAGGGTTCCCAAGCGGAATATGAGTTGCTGTTCCTGCAACCTTCGGGTGGCATCGTTGTGGCACTGCAGGAGGCCCAGGATGGACATGTCGTCTGAGGAATGGGAGGGGGAGTTGAAATGGTTCGCGACTGGGAGGTGCAGTTGTTT